CGACAGAGGAAAGTGAATTCAATAATTCTTCAAGCCGGACCCATCAACATGTGAAGACAACAAGGCATCTACCTACCGATTGGTACAAGCAATAATAGAGGACTCCAAGACCTCTATAAATACAAGATTTGGAGGAAACAGAAGGCCGATACATCCTCTTCCGTTTTCTCATCAAAATAAAATTCTCTGTAATAATAGTGTGTGAGCTTGAGGTCTTTTAATTTTCTTTGTAATTTTTACGTGTGTACGAGTGTTTGCCTCTATTATGAGAGGCTAAAAGGTTTTCTCCTCCCTTAAGAAGATTACTTATCTAATAAAATCACTTTGAGTAATAAAAAAGAGGCTTTTGCTTCACAACATGTTGTCGTAATTTTCATCTATCTCCATAATTAAGCATCTGTACGTCTGGAGTAGGAAACGAACCAAGGCTGTGCTAAGTGGTATCTGAAGGAGTCGGATCACTTGTAGTTCATCTTCCCATTAGTGAAGTTAGACGGTGGGAGCCGTCCGTGAAAAGAACTGGGGGCACTAATTTTTGGACTTGTGGAATTGCAACCCACCTCACCCGGAACCATTTTGGTCAAAAAATGTACGAAAATTATGGAGTTATTTAATTTTACGGAAGCATGTTGGGCCTGGTATTGTTCATTTTATTGTGGATACTCTTTAAGTGAAAAATTCAGGTACAAAAGACTAGGTACTGCGTATTATTAATAAAGTTAGTACTATTTTCTTATTAAAGAGGTACGATTCTAGAATAAACTGGTACTAAATTTTTGGACTTAAATCAATATAAGGGTATTGTGGTTACTATAGGATTATTATTTTATTGCAAGTGGAAGAAAATTAGATATATGGACTGAACTGGAAGTTGAAAATGGGTCTATGTACTTTCATAGAAGTAACCCGTAAATATATAGATTAAAGGATATATTTATTTGGAAATTTTATTTATTTATTTTTTAATAATTCCCCTTCGAATAATTTGAATTTTAAAAAAAAACTAAAGTATGTGTTTGTTTGAGATTTGATGAATATAAAGATATTCAATTTATTTATTATTGGAATTTATTTTTATTTTTAAAACTTTATGAAATTTTGAACCCAATAAACGTATACATGATTGACATTTCTTGATACAAAAAACATTGTACCCCCCTTGAAATCTCATCTCCAAACTTAAGATTTTATAGCATTTCTCCATATTATGAAAATCTTAAAAAGTATTAAGTCTTAAAAATTCTTAAAATGTCACTTCTTAAAATTCCAATTGAATATACCCCTAAACAAATGACAAAATTAAATGGATATATAATGACATTCTCACAGGGCTCGTTTACTTCGGATGATGGGACAGGATAATTAGAAGTGTCTTGGGTTGTCCTCTGTTTCCCTTTAGGGATTGGAATGGGATGTGTGTGAGGTGGAGCAGATGTGGCGCGGGTCCCACTTGCATATCATTTATTTGGCGATCATTTCCATCCCGCCTCCCCCACTGGATAAATTAATCCCAGCTTTTATATGCCCATTATACCCTCATTTTCGGACTTAAAAAGACCAAACTACCCTCAAATGTTACTTTAATTACCAATACCATATAAAAAGTGATATTCTGCCATTTGCCCTATTTCTTGTTCTCGCGTTTCAGTCGACGGGAAGAATCCATTGAACTTGAAGAAGGTAAGTTCGAAGAGTGTATTACAGATGAAATCTCCTTGAATTTTACACCATAGCTATTGTCAATTAAATCGGAATCCTTTGTTGGATTGCTTCAATTTTCGCATAAACCCTAATTTGATTGATGTGAGTTATTATTTTTTTTTTTTTCAAAAACTCTAGTTCGATTGCTTTGATTTCAGTGAAGGAGAAGGTAATGTTCTCTGATGAACTAGGGCAAAGATATGTTACAGTAGACGAGGGATTTTGATCGGTGGAGGAGAGGAGCAAAACAAATCGTACAAAAGGGTATACAAGTCTTTTGTGTGGTTCATGACTGATTTCTGCCAATTCTATCCCAGAAAGTAAATGTTAAACTAAATGATGGCATGTAAAGTTGTCTGATTATTTACTCTTATTCCATCTCCCAAAGTAAACGAGGCCACATAGAATTTGGATTACATTCAAATTTGAGGGATTTGCACTTGTACCAACGTTATTCTTTATATTGCACGTATACATTTAAAATATATTTATTTGCAAACCTACCAATCATATTTATTTGCACATATATGAGCTTATTATGGTAAACTTACTAACTATTAATTTTTTTAAGTTTATGTTTAGTTTTTTTTTTTGTTTTTTTTTTTAAATTTATAACAATGTTCGTATGATTAGATCTCGAAACGAATATTCGATTCATATACCAAACATAAACATATAATAAACGTAATATAAACATCGGGAGAGGCGACGACCATCTGGGACAAAATCGGGTACGAATATTCGGTTCATATACCAAACATAAACTTAAAATAAACATCGAGAGAGGCGGCGGCCGGTCTGGGACAAAATCGGGTATGAATAATCGGTTCATATGCTAAACATAAACGTAGAATAAACATTGAGAGAGACGACGGTCGATCTGGGACAAAATCTCAGATCTGATTGTTCATCTTCTTCCTTGCGCATCTCGAACAATCGAAATTTACAACTAAGAACTTACAGATGATAATAGTCCCTGGAACAATCAAAATTTAAAAACCCTCCTTGTCGACGACCAAATCGTCAGTCCTCCTCACAACGACGTGAACCAGCACCACCGTAACCCCGACGAGCAGCGCCCCACGACGGTGGCGATGGTGTGTGTCAGCAGCAACAGGATGAACACCGTCGACACGACAAACTCGACAAAGAGATTTCAGAGATTTTGGGTAAAAAGGGGTGGGTCGTGCGTGGGAAAGAAAAGGAGATCGAAAATGACAGAGAGGCTCGGTGGCAGCATCATCGTAGAAGCAGGGGCGAAGCCAGAAATTTTGGTTGCTGGGGTCGGGGGGGTCTTACACGGTGTCTTATATAGATCCGCCCCTGCTGCCGGGGTCTTATTATTTTTTAATGGGGTCTTACACAGTGAAATTTTGTTACGTACAAGTGGTTCAACGCAAAGCGTCGGTGTCGGACGACCCCAACCACTGAACGTAGCTTTGCCACTGCATAGAAGGAAGATGAGAGAATTGTAATCGCAGTGCATGAGGAAGATGAGGGAATTGTGGATGTGCTGCTGAAATTCAGGATTAGGGTGTGCGTATAACATATTAACACTATTTTTTAAGGTTGTGGTATAACTGCAAATAAAAATATATATGTGCAATTATTTAGGAAGAGTTACGGTATATATGTAAAAGAGCCTTCAAATTTCGAAGGGTTAGATTCTATCAGTACTTTTTTTATTTAATTACACACGTAACCACATGAGTGTATTGATCTAAACTTAAAAAAAACCAGAAAAATAAAGAAATTTTTAGAATATAAAAGAATTAAACTAATTTTACACTTAACAGAGTAAAACTAGAAGCACCAACTAAGGTGCAAACATCGAAACAACAACCAAATTCACCTCCCCGACCGCCATGGGCCGGGCTCGCCCTGCCAGGATTATTCTCTCGTGGGCCATTCGGATGGCCCTCCGCCACCGAACGCCGGGGGCGGATCCCCCCCTCGGCTCCCGGCCGAACACGATGTGGCCCACCTGAAAAAGGAAGACCTCCACGGCGTGTAACATGTCCGCACAGCCCTTGCACATGTTACACAGAAAGTGTGTTTTGATTACAACGGGAACCTATGAACTGACTGAAGTGTTCAGTTCGTACAAGAAGAACTAAAGAAAATAAAAAAATACAACTCGAATGCGGACATATTAAAGCCGAGGCAATTGAAATCTTTCCGCAAGACAAATGCGCCCCATATAGTGCTGACGGGTCTGTGCGTAATGTCCCCAATGATACAACGGCTATAACACTCGGAAGATGTAGCACACCAATCTTCAGAGTTCCGGCGAACTGAATAGCTTTGTGCTTGTTGTAACTTCTCCAACTCTCTTTATTATAATAAAGAGAGTTAATCTCATTTAAGAGTCCAATGTGAGAATGACTCTTGACCCTTCAAATCCCACAACCAACATTTTACGTGCCCTTTTATGGCTAACTTTAACTATTTATTTCTCACTCACTGAAAATCAATTTTGAGAAAATAAATATACCACAAGTATCTACTCGGAACGTAGAATTTTCTACAATATTTAATTCAACTCAAATTAAATCTTTAGCCATAAAATATTCAGTCAAAACCAAAATAAACCCAAGTTTTATAATTGATTTTTCCAACAGCACAGTGGCCGAAAACTGAAGGAGAATTTCGAGCACAAACGGCCAAAGCAGGGCAGCCATCGCAGGAGTTAGGCCGACAATAGCGCTAGGGCTGAGCCACTCGTTAATTGTTATGTGAGACTCAAATATTGACTTTGTTACTTTATTTCTACGACTCCAAAAGGCCTTAAATTTACCGACTGTTGTATCAAATGTATGTAACGCAAACTATATTGTAGTCTGTCTTGTAGATGTCTAATCGAGTCGAGTCAAGCCGAGCTTCTGACTCTTGGGGTTTCGAGCCTTTATCAATGCTAGCCAAGTTAACCTTATTTCTTAAACGAGCTGACAAACAAGCTTGAGTTCACTCATTTATCAATAGTAGCCGAACTTGAACCTTAATAAATCGAGTTAAAGTAAATTAAGAAAAAAAATCATAAAAATCCATGCTCCTGAACCTTTGCTTTATTAATGTTGATTGTCGACATTTATCTTTTATGAAAAATTCAATATAGTTTACGTAGATCGTTTTCTTTTGCTTTTCTTTTTAACATTCAGTTCATATTTTTTGCGGAGGCAGCTGTACTTGAAACTCGTCGCAAAAAATATGATAGAAGTCCATAACCTGATCCAGCAAATAATCGAACCATTAAAATGACGAACCTCAAGTCACGAGCCACTTGCAGGTCTTTCCACGATCTATCTTTCCAGTACGTCATTGATTTCAAATGTCGCATCACTACATAAAGATCCCCGTGCTGAAGATAAATTTCCAGCTAATGCTAGTGGAAATGGCTGTTGTGGGTTCACCAGTGGCTCGTGACCGTCCAACATTTTAAGCACGGAGTACATTGTTGGTCGATGGTGTGGTTGCTCTTCAATACATAAAAGCCCGACTTGAATGCATCTAAGAGCTTCTTCTGCTTCAAATGCACCTCCAAGTGAATCGTCGACCAAATCTAATGCTTTCCCTTCCTTCCACAGCTTCCACCCCTGAAAAAGTGTCAGATAATATAGCACCGGATCATATACGTATACACTCGATTAATGCAAAAATATCCTAGAAAATGGGACTTTTGAAACTATTTCCATATTGTTAGAATCTTCGATAAACCAGGGCTTAAATTTGAAACGTTTCAGCACACACAATTAACACTTACATTGTCAAGTAGGAACGTTGTTGCACCCATCTTCCTGCCACACAAGACCTCCAGGGCTACGATCCCAAAGCTGTACACATCCGTTTTAACCGATACTATCCCATGCATAACTAATTCTGGACACATGTAACTACTGCAAACAAACAGAAAAGACAACACAATCAATAATTCACAAGTACAGCAGCAGCAGCCCGGGCAGGAGGAAAGTGAACAAGAATGGAACCTTAGACTTTACCAGGTTCCAGCTACTTTCGAGGTTTCCATTTCTAAATGAATTTCTCCCATACTCCTATAAAATGTGAAATTCGAAATTTTTGGAATCATCTTGCTGTCCAGTAAAATACTCTGTACACCGAGATTTCTGTGAATGACTGAGAGTCCCGAGTCCTGATGTAGATAAACAACTCCTCGAGCAATCCCTTTAATGATTTCAAACCGAACTGGCCATGTAAGAAGCTGGCGTCGTCGTTCGTTGCCTGTGCGTAAAATTAGTTAATAGTAATTCATTTTCGAGTGTTTCTCCATGAAAACTGTACAACAAAGATGAAGATGAGGGGGGGAAAGTGTAGTGTACCGCCAATAAAAGTCTGTAGACTTCTGTTCTCCATGAACTCGTACACAATCAGCTTTTCCTCTCTATGGATGCAATAGCCGAGCAGCTTGATGATGTTCTGGTGCTGGAGACTGGGAAGCAGGCGTATCTCATTTATGTATTCATTCTGGCCTCGGCTAGAAGATGGCGAAAATATTTTAATTGCAACCAACTGCCGTGTAGTAGGTAAGACACCCTGCACATCATAATTTAATCAAGGAAATATGGACTTAAAGAAATAAAGTAGAATTGGAGATGTTCGAAGATATCACCTTGTAAACAGGACCGAAACTGTCATGACCAACTTTGTTGGACGAGGAGAATACATTCGTAGCAGCTACAATTGTGTCCCAATCGAACTTGAGCAACCGTAGGTTTGCTTCCTCAATTTCTGCAATTCTCAAGCATGCATTTTTTTCGGGAAAAAAAAAAAAAATCAAAACTGAGGGATCATTAACCATACTAAGAGGGCATATGTTTTTAGCCCACATTTTTCAGCTCCTATTTGTATATGATTGTACCGTGCCATTCATGATTTATTTTGGCCTGGCATTCTCATATTTAATGGAGAAAAATGACTTTATTGAACATCACGAAGCAAATCAGTGATATATCATCAGATCAGAATCAGATAAGTGCAAGCATAAATGTTACCAACATAAATCATTATGTAGAAGCATATATGAGTATAGGCAATGAAAAGTTCTCCATCTAACTTCTACTACGGCCTTACCTTGCAGCAAATCGTTTCTCCTAGGTGCTATGGCTCGGCTAAAAAACGCAGCCCATGGCCAAACTCGTGACTGCTTATGACCTGTACGTTTATTTCCATCTCTATTTAAATGCGGTGGAGATGTCGGCATGTATGTGGAAGCCTTTGTGGGGACCTCGATTTCATCATTAATAGTGTGAATTTCATCAAAATCACTCCTTACCTCATTCGTAACCGAAACTAATCCATTGTTCTGTTGGTCGAGTGCAAGCTTAAGCTGCTGCACGACCTGAGACATTGATGGCCTGCTTTTTGGGTCCTCGTGCAAGCATCTTTCGGCAATCCCAGCAAAAGTCTTAAGGCTACCTTTTAAAATTTCCACTCTCAAACTCGAATCCACAATCCGATCAACCTCTCCTTTACTTATTTTATCACGGGCCCATACAGTCAGAATGTGCTCCTCCTCCGCCACATTCAAATCCACCGCCGCCCGTCCGCAAAGCGTTTCAAAAAGAACCACACCAAAAGCGTACGTATCGGTGCTCATCGTCAGTTTACGCGTGCGGAAGTAATGCGGGTCCATGTACCCTCTTGTGCCCTTCACCTGCGTACTGATGTGACTCTGCAACTTGTTACTCTCCACATGTTTTGCCAAACCGAAATCAGAAACCTTAGCTGCGAAATCTTCGTCCAGAAGGATGTTCGAGCTTTTCACGTCCCGATGTATGATTCTACAGCCCGTGTGGAGATAGTCCAGCCCGCGAGCTGCCCCAATGCAAATAGCGAGACGCTGTTTCCAATTTAGCTTAGAAAAACTATCGTTTGTCCTCCAAAGTTTGTAGAGATGGTCGGCGAGTGTCCCGCCGGACATATAGTCGTACACAAGGATCATCTCCCTGTTTTCATTGCAATAACCGATTAGAGAAACTAGATTCACGTGCCGAAGCTCGGACAACGTCTCGATCTCCATAAGAAACTCGCGAGCCCCCTGTGTGGAGTTCGATTTTAGCCGCTTGATGGCAACGGTTTTCTGTCCTCTGTCGATGAGGCCTTTGTAGACTTTACCGAATCCGCCACTTCCGATTAAAAGCCCGTCGTTGAAGTTTCTAGTGGCAGATTGGATCTCCACGAGTGAAAAGCGGCGGCAGAGACGTTCGGCCCTGGCGGATGGCTTGTTTTTTTTCTCCGGTGCCTCGGTAAGCTCAGCTTCCGAATACTCACGGAGCTTATGAACAGTGATGCTCAACAGGCATAGTAACATTGTTGCAACAAAAGAAAATGCAGTTCGATTTGAGAAAAAGATTAGAAAGGGCTTTGCTGGTGGAGGCAAGGAGTTTGGACTGGCAAGACTATTGTCAGGGTTGCTCAGCTTGAATATTTCGAATGCAGAAAGGAGTTGAAGCCCATCCATGAGCTCATCGTGTGAATGCAAAGAAATCGAGAGATCACGTTTGCCTTCCTCTTTACGCCCTCTAATTGTCACCAAGTAGTCCTCATAATACCAGGGAATGTTTTTACTTTCACCGGGTGAAATTTCTTTTACCAGGTCGATATTAGTGCGCGCAATCATGCCGTTGATAAGTACTCTAAACTTCACATCACGAGTGCCGGAGATCTTGAGTCCAATCTCCGAGAATTGTAGCCTGATCAAGTACTTGAACCCCACATCCACTGGTACTCTCCAGGTTTTGTTCGCTACCTGCTTTGCTTTTCGTACAGCCCACAATGGTAAGGTGCCGCCAGAATATTCTGACTGACCGTAACTTTGCGTAATAATTGATCGATGGATTAGTTCAAGTGCCGTGTGGTGACCAACGTAGACTGTTGACTTTTGACCAACTACTTGAACTCCATTGTCGAAACCTTGAAAGTAAGGAACATTAGCAGGTACGGAGATAATCTCGATGCCGTTTACGAAAGCGTACGCGTCAAGTGATTGGCTAGTCTCAGGTATAAAAGTTACGGTAAATTGTTCATTTTCCTGTACGCTCAAACAGAACTCTTTCGTAAAAGATTTCAAGCCGAGAGCATCCGCAGTAAGTGAAGCACTAAAGTTGCCGAGCAAAGTAAAAGGACCAGCTTGGACAGTGAACAAGTCTTTCAAACCTTTGAAACTTTTGTATGGGGCCGAATAGAAGTGAAGGCGAAGGATTTTCTGACCTGGGCCGACTCGGAACGTGTAAGAGAATATCGAACGAGAAATTCTAGCTGTCCTGTGGAGAACTTCATCTCCGGATATCAACCGATTGTTAGCCGTTGAGATTGCTGATGAGCCTTTGATCTGTACATATGAAGTGGATTTCGGGTTTATTACATCCCCAATCCATTCTTGGCCGTCGAGTGCTGTAGATTTGCCGGTCGAGCCACAGCTGACCGAAAGGTCTCCTGTTACATGTGTTGTTGGGTTATTACCACTGTTTCTGAATGTGATGAGGAAACAGAAACACAGCAAAGGAATCGAAACTGAGTACAGATTCATGATTGTGTTTTGAGTGAATCTGGCAAAAGAATGAATAAAAATGGCTTGTTTTTCAGATAATAAGGTGCAGATTAAATAGAAATGAAGTTTTGAATCCATGTAGGGACAGTTTGAATATCCAACACACACTGCATTCCATTGAAACTTCAGCAAGTTCGTCGACGAATTTCGGAGAAATTACTATATAACATAGTATGTGAGCTGGGTCCTACGAAAAATTTCATGTCGGATGAGACATTTATTGTGGATATGTGAAAATATCTGTAGGAAAATTTCTGCAAAAAACATGGAAAACATGTGTAGATCACTGCAGAAGTATAGCATATAAACAGATTGAACTCATAATCAGTGGAAAAAAAAAAAAAAAAAAAAGAGGAAAGAACTTTGTTGGACTTTTTACATCTACAAATGGCAGCAACATTCTCTATTCATACTCCCTTCTTGTTAACAGAGAAAATATATATGAAATTCTTACTTTTGAGCTCATGCGCGGCTAGTTACAGAACAGCTCTAATCGTTGGCAAGCCTTCCAGTTCAAGATCCATCAACACATTAGCTTAACCAGATTCTATCATCCCCGTAAAACCGCTGGAGCATCGCATCAATCTCCGATTCCGAGTCGTCCTGAACGAGCCGGAAGCATTCAAGCTGAGCAAGCGCGACAAAAACCTAACGGGATCTCTGGCTCGGGCCACAATTCCGGGCCGAGGAACCAGAAATCACGGCCAAGGGAAAATAAAAGTGAAACACATTCTACACGCAGCGCCAACTCGATCTCTGCTACACTCGCAGCCACACAACGGGCCATGCTGAACAGTGCCCCTTGTAACGATCCACCACCGGTTTTTGTTGGTACAAAGCGATTATCCCCAAAAGCAGTATTATTTACGATTATAATTCACAAATCACTTCTGTGCTGGCAAATCACTTTCGCCGGTAGAAAGGCCAAAAATGAACATTGGATATCTATATAGGAGAATGCTACCATCCCGTTACGGGATGGTTCCGTTGTATTTTTAAGCGTTGGATTAACTACCCATCACTAGATTACATGTATATCTATGGCTAGAAAACACAACGGAACCATCTCGTAACGGGATGGTAGCATTCTCCATCTATATATATATAATTACTAGTCAATAGTATTTAATAAAACCTATTTAATTAAACCTCTAACTTTTTTCCCTCCATTTTCGGTTACAAAATTTAACATTAATAATTTTTACTTCCCACATTAATACATCATATTAAGTGTAATCATGTATGTTTCTATTATATTATATAATAGTTATTGCTAATACTAACTAATGATAATTCACAATAAATATAAATTACATAATTATAAATTGTTTCAAATTATGTATTTTAACATCAATATTATATTTTTCTTTTGTAGCTCATAAAAATATTTCTTTAAAAACAATTAGAATATTGTTTTAATAGCATAGTTAAACAACTTTAATATCTTATAAACAATTGTTTTTTAATAATATATTTATATATATATATATATATAATTGCTAGCTAATCATTAAATAAAACCTCATAAATAAAATCTAATTAATAAAATTTCATTTATTTTCCCTCCAAAAAAAGTTACAAAATTTGTCATTTATATTTTGTCTTTCATATTAATACCCCTCTTAAGTGTAATCATGTAAAAAAATTAATAACATTAACTATTATATAATATAATAGCAAAAAATAGCATTAACTACTATAATAATAATAATAATAATAATAATAATAATAATAATAATAATAATAATAATAATAATAATATTTTGAAACAATAAAATTATTTATACTTATGTAATTTATATTTAGTGTGAAGTGTTATGAGTTGGTAATAGCATTAACTATTATATAATATAATAGCAAAAAATTACATGATTACACTTAGTAGGGTGTATTAATGTCAAGGTAAAATATGAATGACAAATTTTGTAACTTCTTTTTGAGGGAAAATAAATGAGGTTTTATTAATTATGTTTTATAAATACATGATTACACTTAATGAGGTTTTATGAATGATATTATAATTATTATTTTAATTTTATATTTCATGAAACAATTTTCTTTAGAAACAATTAGTAAATAGTTTTAACAGTATAGTAAAAAACCTTTAAAATCTTATAAACAATTGTCGTTGTAATAATAATAGTAATAATAATAATTATTATAATAGTAATAATAATAATAATAATAATAATAATAAAGTTTTCAAGTAAATTATTTGATCATCATCCCTCCAAATTATAAAAATTACGTTACCCACAATTTTTTTTTTTTAATCAATATAGTGATTCATATGTACTCAAATAGTTTATATAAGTATTATTTTATTTTTACTAATGATTAAATCTTGAAAATGTGGTATGTCCATTATCTAGAATTTTAATATTAAATTCACATATCTTGAAAATGTGATATGTTTATTTTCTAGAATTTTAATATTAAATTCACATATCTTGGAAATGTGATATGTTTATCATCTATAATTTTAATATTAAATTCACACATATTACTTATAATATTTTATGTACATCTGTGCATGTGCACAGGATGATAACTAGTTTGGTTTAAAGGACACGAAATCCTAGGAACTAATATCTAATTTTAGTTCTTACAAATAATCTAAAAATATAAAATTATAGTTGAACTGAAAAATAAATTGCAAATGAAAAACGGAATGATTTTAGCCGAGACGAGTAAAACTCTTTTCGCAAGAAGAATACGCCTCGTGTGGCAGCTAACGCTTTAGGCGTAACTTCCCCAAAGATATAACGGCAAACGTCTCTAAATCTGTAGCACACCAGATTTACGAGTTCCGCGAAACTTTAACGGAGTTGAGAATTGAGCACTAAAAATAAAAAATATATCATAAACCAAATAAAAATATTATTTATTTTTTCTCTTTTAATATTTTTATATCCGGACATAAATCTATCTTTTTTTCCTTTCTCTTTATTTCCCCTCTTTGATGCCTACTTTTCCCATGGCGTGTTATAGAAAGATGAAAAGGAATATAATGTCAATTTGGCCAACAAATTGATTTTTTTTTTTTTAGTATCATGTGGCACCGCCCCTTTCTCCAACACTAGTACAGAGCCCGTGCGCTGCACGGGGTGCACAATTTTAAGGTTATTTATCCAGCCTTATAATTATATAAATGAATAAAAAAATGTACGGGATATATATATAATACGGGACCGGTGCGAGACACGGGATATATTTATTTAGGGAATATTATATTATAAGATGCAATATTCAATAAAAGTTTTATGAAATAATATTTATTTAGAGAACTTTAAACAACATATTTACGTAACTAATAAAACATATTATATTTCAACATCAAAGTTATAGTATTATTTAAGGAACTTAAAACAACATTGTTAAATATTTACGTCCACGCGTAAATCTTTTACAAGTCGAAGGTAATTAATCCTGTTTCTTTTTTATTTGTTTGTTTGTTCAATTTTTTTGACAAAACTGATATCATGGATAAAAAATTTAATATTAAATAAATTAATTAAATAATAAAAAATAATATGCTTTAGACAGATATAGGATGCAAATAATCCTCTCATACCAAACAACGCGATTTCAAAATTGACTCAGATCCAGCAATTCTATCCAATATTTCATATAAATAAATATTAATTAAAATGCTTTAAACAAAAATTAGATAAGGAATTTTGAATCTGCCTTTTTTTTAGTATAAATAGGCTTTACGCACATTTTTTGACTTCACCGATTATGGGATTTGTTTTGACTAAATCGATGTTATTATGGAATAAGACAAATAAATAAAGTCTTTTTTTATTTTAGTAAAGATTTCACATATTTTTTTTTTTTTTTGACTTATCGGATGTTATGAATTTTTTTTCTTAAGCCAGTTTTTATTTTAGTAAATTTTTTAAAGAATAACTAATATAATTTTATTATCTAACCATCAATAAAATCATTTAATGATGTGGTTATTATCTTTTAAATGATAAATAATATAATTTTTTTTAAAAAAATATTAGTTTTATATAAATAACTAAAGGTTAAAAAATATTACTCGACAAATATTAATTATAATGGATATCAGTAAAATCATTGCATAAATTATTTAAGGAAAAAATCTTTAAGATCATATCTGGATAATAAATGTAAAATATGCAAGCATTTAATGCTTATAGTAAAAAAAATTCCAAATAAGGTATGCATTAAATGTGTGTTGACTTTTCTTGCTATTATTTTTGGTAAATGGGTTGGCTTTTAATACATATATAAATTTATTTATTTATTTATTTTTTATTTTCTTTAACAATTGGGGAACGCATATGGGAAGAGATGGGAAACCCATGTGGGAAGTGGAAAGAATCTTTTTTTTTTTTTTTATCGTTTTCTAACAATCCCCTCCAAAAAAAGAAATACACACACATATACTGACTGTTGTGCTCAACCCTCACAAAACTCTATCGCATCGGAAAATGTAGCTTTTGGCTTTGAACCTTTCTTAGTAAACATCATCGGATGCACTGACGGCCTAGTGGACATAATGTCTTGAACTATTCCTCCATAGTGTACACCGAGACAATGACATCCACACAATAGAGTCTTAACTCCATTCCGTTCTATCGTTGTGTCCGTTTTGGCAATGGACAACACAATGGATTCATTAGTGTTTACATTTGAAGCGGCCCACACTTCACACTTATATAGGTGACCTCCCTATCAAAAGTATCCTGTAATACTCCACCTTTACAAAGTTAGGGATTCATTAAAAGTCAACATGACTTAACCTCACCACAATCAACAGGTCATCTTGCACTTGGAGTGCTCTAGGGAATAGCTTTGGACATTCATATGTTCTAAGTGCTAAACTGAATTTTCACAGCTTAGTTTTCCCTTTGAACTAAGTTTGTGGGATCTCCACTAAGCATGGTATGGTTACCACTATGATAATTCTTTATATTGTGGAATTTTAAGCTCATTCCCTCTAGCAA